CTCAGGCGTTCTCCAGGAACACATTCGTCTGAGCGTGTGTCCTTGTCTGTATGCATTCAGCCAAGCAGCGTTTCACCCACCCACCTACCCGCTCTCCCCGCCTCGCCGTTCACTCATCATGTATTCCGTTCACCCCCCGGCTCTCCAGGGCTCTATCCATCCCTCAAACTATGCTCTCCTCCACCCCCGTTCTTTCCTTCTTTAATTCATTCTCTTGGTTCCCTCTTCCCACGAACCCTGCAATCCGTCGGTCAGATGAGCCATCCACTTTCCATGGATCCAGCCACTGAACCGACCGTCTGTATTAGCGTCCAGCGGCTGCTGTGACAAATGCCCACAAAGCCAGTGGCTGAGCAACAACGGAGATTTGCTCCCTTGCAGTTTTGGTGGGTGGGATCTCAACATAGTTTTGCTTTTGAATTTTGTTGTTTTTTTAAGTATATTTTTATTGATTTTTTACAGAGAGGAAGGGAGAGGGATAGAGAGTTAGAAACAGCGATGAGAGCGAAACATCGATCAGCTGCCTCCTGCACATTCCCTACTGGGGATGTGCCCGCAACCAAGGTACATGCCCTTGGCTGGGCTGGAACCTGGGACCCTTGAGTCCACAGACTGACACTCTATCCACTGAGCCACACTGGGCCAACAGAACATTTTTAAGTTATTTATTGAGTTTAGATGTTTTCGTTAGCAAATAAGCATTAAAAACAACCCAACCATTAAACATAACACTGACTTTACACCATCAAGTAATGTGAACATTCCCCAAGTTTCCTAACCCTCGGGGATAACAATACGATATTTGCATTTCTTGTGCACATTCCTCGACTAGAATAAATAATGAAAGGGGATCTGCCCTAACCGGTTTGGCGCAGTGGATAGAGCGTCGGCCTGCGGACTCAAGGGTCCCAGGTTTGATTCCGGTCAAGGGCATGTACCTTGCTCGCGGGCACATACCCAGTAGGGAGTGTCCAGGAGGCAGCTGATCGATGTTTCTCTCTCATTGATGTTTCTGACTCTCTATCCCTCTCCCTTCCTCTCTGTAAAAAATTAATAAAATATATTTTTTTAAAAAAAAGGAGATCTGTGATAGCACAGGTTATGGGTCATACCAATTATGTGAAGACTAGAGGCCCGATGCACGAACGTTCATGCAAGAGTAGGACTTCCTTCCCCTTGGTTGCTGGCACCGGCTTCCCTCCGGCACCCGGGACCCGGGCCTTCACTCTGGCTGCTGCCTTCCACCTTCACTCCAGGCTGAAGCTGCCTCCTGCCCACTCTAGTCGGCTCTGTGGCCGCCGCCCAGAGGCTAGCCCTCAGCAGCTGGTGGTGAGCTCTGTATGGGGAGCGTGCCTGGCAGCAGTGCCAGCAGGGAAAAACCTTGCGGTGAGGGGAGTTCAGCCTCCAGCAATGAGAGCAAGGAGAGTGTGTCAGAGTGAGAAGTGATGGGGAGAAAAATGAAGGATAAGATCAGACAAATAGCCCTGGCCAGTGTGCTCAGTGGATAGAGCGTCGGCCTGCAGACTGAAGGGTCCCAGGTACAATTCCAGTCAAGGGCACATGCCAGGTTTGTGGGCTCGATACCCAGTAGGGGGCATGCAGGAGGCAGGGGATCCATGATTCTCTCTCATCATTCTCTCTCCCATCTCACTCCCGCTTCCTCTCTGAAACCATTAACAATATATTTTAAAAACACAGATAGAAAAAAAAAACCAAGAATTGCAGGGAAGGACCAATGCCTTCCTCCTGGGAGCTGCGGGGCGC